GGGAATGACCGTTCCTAGCTAGTGGTTGAATCTTGGAATTTTTTTGGTGTTTCTTTGATGAAATAGATACTTATGTACCTAGAAATGATTTTTGGAAAAAATAAAGAGCAAACTACAAGGCAGCTACAGTTCAAATTTGACCCACTTCCACCTGAATCGGCGGAAGTTTGTCATTTTCACGAGAGGTGGATCAAAACTTTTTACACCCAACCATTTGGTCAATTGTGCATTAAATATGGCCTAGTATTTTATAAAAATGATTTGGTCCAATTTTGCAACAATCATTTGGGAGGTCCTTCACAAAAAACCCTCCTTTTGGGCACTCGAAAAATGGAAAATGGTTTTTTCGTCCAAAGAAAATGAAAACTTCCTTAGGCAAAATTGTTTGCCATTCCAATATGCACCCTTGTGCACAATATGAGATCATTTGAACAAACGATGCAATGAATGTGGGCATAGGATTGATCATTTGGCTTGAAAGCCATGAATCTTCACGCATGATAGCTCATTTCTGATAACACTTTTTTAAAAGAATTGTCGTATTATAAGTTTATTATTTTGCCTGGTAACTTGGTCATATACAATGACACAATGCGAATGTCTTCCAATTTTTTGATTTTTTCTTAATTTGTTATGCCCGTTTCAAAATGCGGTCAAAACGACGAGAATGACCGTTCGTAGCTAGTGGTTGAATCTTGGAATTTTTTTGGTGTTTCTCCGATTAAATAGATACTTATGTACCTAGAAATGATTTTTGGAAAAAATAAAGAGCAAACTACAAGGCATCTATAGTTCAAATTTGACCCACTTCCAACTGAATCGACAGAAGTTTGTCTTTTTCACCAGAGGTAGATCGAAACTTTTTACACCCAACCATTTGGTCAATTGTGCATTAAATATGTCCTAGTATTTTATAAAAATGATTTGGTCCAATTTTGCAACAATTATTTGGGAGGTCCTTCACAAAAAACCCTCCTTTTGGGCACTCGAAAAATGGAAAATGGTTTTTTCGTCCAAAGAAAATGAAAACTTCCTTAGGAAACATTGTTTGCCATTCCAATATGCACCCTTGTGCACAATATGAGATCATTTGAACAAACGATGCCATGAATGTGGGCATAGGATTGATCATTTGGCTTGAAAGCCATGAATCTTCACGCATGATAGCTCATTTCTGATAACACTTTTTTTAAAGAATTATCGTATTAGAAGTTTATTATTTTTCCTGGTAACTTGGTCATATACAATGACACAATGCGAAGGTTTTCCAATTTTTTGATTTTTTTGAATTTTTTATGCCCGTTTCAAAATGCGGTCAAAACGGCAAGAATGACCGTTCCTAGCTAGTGGTTGAATCTTGGAATTTTTTTGGTGTTTCTCTGATTAAATAGATACTTATGTACCTAGAAATGATTTTTGGAAAAATAAATAGCAAACTGCAAGGCAGCTACAGTTCAAACTTGACCCACTTCCAACTGAATCGGCAGAAGTTTGTCTTTTTCACAAGAGGTGGATCAAAACTTTTTACACCCAACCATTTGGTCAATTGTGCATTAAATATGGCCTAGTATTTTATAAAAATGATTTGGTCCAATTTTGCAACAATTATTTGGGAGGTCCTTCACAAAAAACCCTCCTTTTGGGCACTCAAAAAATGGAAAATGGTTTTTTCGTCCAAAGAAAATGAAAACTTCCTTAGGAAACATTGTTTGCCATTCCAATATGCACCCTTGTGCACAATATGAGATCATTTGAACAAACGATGCCATGAATGTGGGCATAGGATTGATCATTTGGCTTGCAAGCCATGAATCTTCACGCATGATAGCTCATTTCTGATAACACTTTTTTAAAAGAATTGCCGTATTACAAGTTTATTATTTTTCCTGGTAACTTGGTCATACATAATGACACAATGCGAAGGTTTTCCAATTTTTTGATTTTTCTGAATTTTTTATGCCCGTTTCAAAATGCGGTCAAAACGGCGGGAATGGCCGTTCCTAGCTAGTGGTTGAATCTTGGAATTTTTTTGGTGTTTCTCTGATTAAATAGATACTTATGTACCTAGAAATGATTTTTGGAAAAAATAAAGAGCAAACTACAAGGCAGCTACAGTTCAAATTTGACCCACTTATAGCTGAATCGGCGGAAGTTTGTCTTTTTCACCAGAGGTGGATCAAAACTTTTTACACCCAACCATTTGGTCAATTGTGCATTAAATATGGCCTAGTATTTTATAAAAATGATTTGGTCCAATTTTGCAACAATTATTTGGGAGGTCCTTCACAAAAAACCCTCCTTTTGGGCACTCGAAAAATGGAAAATGGTTTTTTCGTCCAAAGAAAATGAAAACTTCCTTAGGAAACATTGTTTGCCATTCCAATATGCACCCTTGTGCACAATATGAGATTATTTGAACAAACGATGCCATGAATGTGGGCATAGGATTGATCATTTGGCTTGAAAGCCATGAATCTTCACGCATGATAGCTCATTTCTGATAACACTTTTTTAAAAGAATTGCCGTATTACAAGTTTATTATTTTTCCTGGTAACTTGGTCATATATAATGACACAATGCGAAGGTTTTCCAATTTTTTGATTTTTCTGAATTTTTTATGCCCGTTTCAAAATGCGGTCAAAACGGCGGGAATGGCCGTTCCTAGCTAGTGGTTGAATCTTGGAATTTTTTTGGTGTTTCTATGATTAAATAGATACTTATGTACCTAGAAATGATTTTTGGAAAAAATAAAGAGCAAACTACAAGGCAGCTACAGTTCAAATTTGACCCACTTATAGCTGAATCGGCGGAAGTTTGTCTTTTTCACTAGAGGTGGATCAAAACTTTTTACACCCAACCATTTGGTCAATTGTGCATTAAATATGGCCTAGTATTTTATAAAAATGATTTGGTCCAATTTTGCAACAATTATTTGGGAGGTCCTTCACAAAAAACCCTCCTTTTGGGCACTCGAAAAATGGAAAATGGTTTTTTCGTCCAAAGAAAATGAAAACTTCCTTAGGAAACATTGTTTGCCATTCCAATATGCACCCTTGTGCACAATATGAGCTCATTTGAACAAACGATGCCATGAATGTGGGCATAGGATTGATCATTTGGCTTGAAAGCCATGAATCTTCACGCATGATAGCTCATTTCTGATAACACTTTTTTAAAAGAATTGCCGTATTACAAGTTTATTATTTTTCCTGGTAACTTGGTCATATATAATGACACAATGCGAAGGTTTTCCAATTTTTTGATTTTTCTGAATTTTTTATGCTCGTTTCAAAATGCGGTCAAAACGGCGGGAATGGCCGTTCCTAGCTAGTGGTTGAATCTTGGAATTTTTTTGGTGTTTCTCTGATTAAATAGATACTTATGTACCTAGAAATGATTTTTGGAAAAAATAAAGAGCAAACTACAAGGCAGCTACAGTTCAAATTTGACCCACTTATAGCTGAATCGGCGGAAGTTTGTCTTTTTCACCAGAGGTGGATCAAAACTTTTGACACCCAACTATTTGGTCAATTGTGCATTGAACATGGCCTAGTATTTTATAAAATTGATTTGGTCCAATTTTTCAACAATTATTTGGTAGGTCCTTAAAAAAACCTCATTTTTGGGCACTAAAAAAGATGGAAAATGATTTTTTTCGTCCAAAGAAAATGAAAACTTCCTTAGGCAACATTGTTTGATATTCGAAAATGCACCCTTTTACGCAGTATGAGATCATTTTTTGAAATTTTCATGTGAAAAAGTAGACAAAAAGAATGCTCAGGGATTCTTTTTTGAAACATAAATTGTCTTTTTGATGAGAGGTGAATCAAAAGCATTTTACATTTTAAGATTTGGTCAACTGTACATAAAATGTTGTCTTATAGTTTCGTGTGGTGCCATTTTGAAAGAAATATTTGGTAGATTCTTCACAAAAAAGAATTTTGTCACTCCGAAAATAGAAAATGATTTTTCCCCTAAAAACTCATTTCTCATAACACTTTTTAAAGATATTTGTCTTATTCCAATTCCAAGTTTGTTAGTTTTCCTAAAAAAACTAGGTCACATTCGCTAACACAATGAGAATGTTTTTATTTTATTGAATTCTCATATGATAAAACTGTTTATATGATTCAACATCTTATTTTTAATAGATTAAGACCAATTTAGATGGTCATAACGTGTACTGGGCTTTGATTGGTCCACGAGCATGTCACGCGGATCGTGCCTTCAGCGTCGTCGGATGCTCCTCTCTAGATCCAGATCCGACGACAGCCCTTTCTCCCTCACCCCCCTCTTTGTCTGAAAAAAGGAAACCCCCTCCCGCATGCGAACCCTAGCGTCGTCTCCCAACCCATCTCCAGATCCAGATCCGCCACCCCTCTCCCTCTCCCCTCGCCGCCTTGCCTCCCCTCGCCGCCGCACCCCCCTCCCGCCCGACCTTCTCCCCCTTCCCTCCCCTACCCTCCCGTGTCCCCATCCCGTCGAAACCCTAAGCGGCGGCAGCCGCCATGGTGAAGGGACGCATGGGGTAGCTCGTCAGCCTCTACGTACGGGGCACCATCCTCGGCTTCAGGAGATGAGCAGCCCCGTTCTTCGCCATGCTCTCACCGGATCTGGCGATTCATTTCATGGTGAGATTGGGCGGCGCGCTGATGGCGATGTGGGGGTTGATCTGCAGGTCGAAGTCGAACCAGTACGAGAGCATGTCGCTGGTGCAGGTCGAGGGGGTGAACACCAAGGAGGACGTGGCGTGGTACGGTGTCGCCGCGATGGAAGAAGCCTCCTCTGCTCTGCTCTGCTCGCCGGTACGGACTCCCCCCAACCCCTTACTCCCGCCCTGGCCGGCCGGCCAAGGTTCCGATCAAATCCCCTCTCGCGCTTCGTCTCCGGGCCGGCCGGCTCTCCCTCCTCTGTCTGCATCGTGTCTAGCTAGCCGATTGACCGCTGGCGCCCTGTTGGCTCGCGCACGGGGCACGCTAGCCAGCTGATCCTGTCTGGCATGTCTAGTAGTAATAGACGACGACAGGTTCTCTGCTTATCACCTCTGTTACTTCTGCATAGTCTTCTTGTAGCATAAAACAGCTCCTCTAATATCGCATCAGGACAGTGTGCTGCTTATTAAGCGATCTAAAACGTCTTATATTCGTTCACAGAGGGACGGCACCCACTACCGCTACCTCTGGGGCAAGATCACCAGCCCACACGGCAACTCCGGCGTCGTCTGCGCCCAGTTCAAGTCCAACCTCCCCGCCGAGTCCATGGTCAGTGCCTGCCCGCCCTTAGTTTTCTTGATGGTGCTTTTTTGTTGAGGTTGTTTGTTTCTTTGTGTTGTGTGCAGGGGCGCAAGGTCAGAGTGTTCATGTACCCGAGCAGCATCTAAAGTTAGCATCTGCTGCACTATCGCTGATGATGTTTGTTTAAGGTTGTTGCTTTGCTCTGTGTGATTTTACTCTAGCATGTGTGTTGCATTTTGTCCTGCGCCTTGAGAATGACTAGGATTTATGTTATAGAATTCCAAGTGTAGTCGCAATATATAACATGCCTAAAGTATATGGACTTGTGCAGTGTGTCCATCGAGAGTAGATAGACTATTTCTTTCATGATTCATCTATATATGCTGCTCTTATATGCAAGTTTGTATCTGGATGTCTTATGCATGACAGAAGTTTGTGAAATGCAATGTTTTTCTGTTGTGGTCTGTTTGATGGGGATTGATGCACATGTAGGTCATATCTCTGTGTGTTTGGACCGAGGGAACAACACTAGCTTATTAGCTTACTTTTCATCAAGTACTAGTATTAGCTGAGATGTAGATGGACTGTTTCTTTCACGATTTTATCGATATACAATTGTTTACATGTTTTTTATCTGGATGTCTTATACATGACAGAAGCTTGTGAATTGAAATGTTTCTTTTGTGGTCTGTCCGATGAGGATCGATGCATGTGTGGATCCTATCCTTGTGTGTTTTGGATCTAAGAACTAGCTTATTAGCATACCTTTTTATCAAGTACTACTAATTTAGGTGTAGATGGACTATTTCTTGCATGATTCATCAATATGCAGATATTCTACTGTTACATGCATGCTTGTATATGGATGTCTATTGGTGTATATGGACTATTTCTTTCAAGATCCATCAATATGCAGTTATACACATGTTTGTATCTGGATGTTTATATTACATCATGAGGTTTTCTACAAATTAGTAAGGTAATGGTTTCAGCTGCTGCATTATTGCTTATATTTGATTATTGCTTATATTTGATACTACACAATGTGACTGGAGTTTATTGTGATTTGCAGAAGATAGAATCTGGATGCAATTGCTTTGATATTCCTGTTTGGCCCCCAGGCATGCTCATGAAGTACAATGAGGTGTCCTCATCTGACTATTTCGCCAATGGGTAAGCCTCACTGCCAATCTTTCAAGTAGTAGTAGTACGGTGTCGCTATCATCTCTGTTTGTATATAAGTACGCCACTGTTGAGGTTTAGCAATCTCTGTTATGGTGTTGATCTGAATCATGCTTTTTTGTATGTGACAGCGAACTGGCTACCCTCGTGTAGTTGAGCAATTAGTATCCATACATGCCCAGTGCATGCCTAAATCCTGAGTTTTATTTTTAAACCTCTCCATATATGTGCAGTGCCTATTGTAATTGTCAAGTGTGAATTCTGTATATGAGGTGTGTTCTCCTTGTAGTAATTTCTAGTAGCCTGCTTGTTATGTGTAGCGTGCACAACACATTACGTGTATTGAGGATGAAATGGTCTGAGTATGGCATTTTCAATTTAACTTGCTTTTTTGGTGTTGAGCTATTGATAAATTGGTGTTGGTACCATGATGCTTGAACTGTTATTTTATTTTGGTAAATGAACTGCTGCTTTGGTGCATAGATGTATCTTCATGAGTCACAAAACTCCTAACATGTAGGCGACTGGAGCACACCAGAGCATTGACGGCGACTCAGTCCTCGGCGCCGCCCTCTGCTAGAGCGGTGCATCCCCTCTCTGTTCTCCCAGCCACCCCTAAGTTTTGGATTTGGATCGTTTCTGTGAACTCTAGCCATGCTCACTTGTAAATCTGGTTTGATGTTTAAACCGTGACTTATGATAATATGGTTTCATCGCCTTCCAGGGACAACATATATATGCTCAATACACTCTACTTGTTTTCCTGTATAGTTTTCTTACTTGTTTTCCTTTATGCGTTCACCCTTTTTCAGGAGCTCCAAGCCTAACTTTTTTCCTTCATGTTCACTCTTTTACAGGAGCTCCAGTCCTAATTTTTCTAATTGTGAGGCCGTGAAGCCAAGTGCGAAGCAGTGAATGCTGGAGAGAGATGATGCTGGAGAGATGCCCTTCCTGTAGGTCTGCATATAAGCGGAAGTTCCTTGGTATACAAGATTCGATGGTTAAATTGATTGATGTGATGTGAATGAGTGTATGGAAACTGGTTGTGTGATGTGAATGAGTGTATGTAGTTTCACATGTTCTATTCTGTATAGCATATTGTAATAAACTTATTTTAGCTGTTATTTGAAGATTTTCGTATGCTTTCTCTCTTCTGTCTGTTTGATATATACATATATATTGCTTATTAATAAGCTGTGAAAAAATCTGACATTTGGGACCCATCTGTAAACTGGAGCTAGGAAAAAAAGCTGGAAATAAAAAATAAATTGAGGGCAAAGTGTTGTGCGCTAGAAAATAAAAAGACCAAATTGTAAGCCAGGCCCATGTAGCTAACCAAAATTAGCATAAAATACATATATTAAAAGGGCTTGCCTAAAAAAATACATGGGCCAAATTACTGGGTCAGACCCATGTAGCTAATAAAAGCACAGGAAAAAAATACATTAAAAAGGCCGAATTGTTGGGCTAGGCCCATGTAGAAAATCGAATTGGACCGGGCTGAATCTTGTGCCATATCGGATTGCCACGCTGGATGCCTACGTGGCCTGGGGAGGTTGCTAGTGACCAAAACGCCACAGTAGACGTATTTTGGTCATAAACGTCTACGACCATTCCAGAAGAAAGGTCGCTATAGTCAGTTTATGACCGCCATCTTTTGACCTTATGCTTTTGGTCACAAAAAGGTCACAAATTGAAAACAGTGACCAATAGTGCTGGTCACAAGTTGACATATTTCTTGTAGTGCATTCTTTTTCTTCTTCTTCCTTTCCTAGCTAGATATATAGAAGTTTTCTAAAAATGTAACTTTTGCATACATACATGGGAAAATAATATTATCGGGGAGGGGGTAGGTCGAACCCACCCCCCCCTCGTGTTGAAGTTATCGGGACACGGGGTATATCAACAACGACATATCCAATAAAAAATAAGAAGACGAAGAAGAAATAAAAAGAGGAGAAGAAGATATTAATAGAGGAGAAGATCGAAGAAAAAAAGAAGAAAAAAAAAGAGGAGAAGAAGAAAGAAATAGAGAAGAAGAAGAGAAAATAGAATATTCTATTTTCTGTTCTTCTCCTCTATTCCTTTCTTCTTCTCCTCTTCTTTTTCTTCTTTTTTCTTCTTCTTATTTATTTCTCCTCTTCTTCCTCTCCTCTTCTTCTCCTTTCTTCCTCTTCCTATTTTCCTTTTTCCTCTCATTCTTTTTCTTCTTCTTCCTTTCCTAGCTATATATAAAACTTTTCTAAAAATGTAACTTTTGCATGGAAAAAATGTTTTCTTCTCCAACAAAAAACACATATCATCTCATCTCATTTCATCCACATCCATGCATACATCATATATATGATCATCTATGAACAAAAAAACATCATATTCTATAAAAAAATCATCATATATATGAACAAAAACAATTATGATAACAAGCATATACATCATCATATATAAGAAAAAAACAAGCATATATACATGAAAAAAACAAGCACATATATATATCATCATATATATGAAAAAAAACAAGCATATATACATGAAAAAAACAAGCATATATAGGACAAGGAGGGCGCCGGCAGGACCAAGGTGATCGGGGCAGGGACGCGGGGTCAGCGGCGAGGATAGCGACGGCGATGACGTCGACGGGGCAGGGGCGCCCGCTCGGGGCAGGGGGCGACGGCGACGACGGGGCAGGGCGGGGCGG